TTTGTCTCTTACATGTTACACCTTCAAAATATCAGCCTTAGGGCCGGCCCGGTGGCGCACTGCTACAGTGCGCCGCTTGGGAGCGCGGCAGCACTCCCGCCAAGGGTTCAGATCCCACATGCAGACCGGTTCCCGCTCACTGGCTGAGCGAGTTGCAGGCGCAGCACCGAGGTTTGCGATCCCGTTGCCGGTCCCGGTCCGGTACGGGCGTGACACTGAGGGTTGCGATCCGTTTCCGGACACGAAAAAAGATAAAAAGGAAAAAAATATATATATCAGCCTTAGGTTAAAGTAATGCCTTATGTAAGTGGCATCTTTAAGGAAACAATCCTTTTCATAAAGTGATTTTCCCAGAGGTATAAAGTATGCTCCCATAAATGCCAACATAACTTTATATTTAATTTGGCTATTTTAACAATTCATTTCATTGAAATCTGTACACAGCATTGAGCTAGACACTGTAGGAGACAGAAAGACAGACTTTCTCTCTCCTCTCTGGGAACTCATAGTCTTGTAGAAGAGATAGGCCACATCAAATCATTCTCTTGTGGAGCATAGTGTGACAAGTGACAGAAGAGAGGTGTGGAAAAGTGCTATGAAAGCACAAAGGAAGGAGAGAACTTTCTTCTGGATTGATGGTCAGAGAAAACTTCCTGGAAGGAAGTCTTGATGAAGAATGGGAAAAACCCAGCAGGAACAGGTATTCCAGGTGGAAAGGAATATGAGCAAAGCCCCTAGGCCAGTGGGGCCTGGTGCACTTGGGGGTCACAGATGTATCATGGAGATGAGGCAGGAAAAGGGGTCAGGCCCCAATTTCAGTGTGATCAAGGCCATAGTCAGAAGGGCAGACTTTATCATGGGATACTAGGTAACCACTGTCTCTCACTCCAGGCTTTGGAACTGGGGAAATGACATGATCCGATTAAAATTAAATCCAATTCAGCAAAATGTATTGAGTGTCTCCAATGTGCCCAGCCCTATGGTTGGTGTAATGGATACAAGACACATTTTTGGTGCTGCCCTTGATGATCTTAGAGTTTAGTGGGGACAGATGTATATACAGATAATGTCAACGTGTAGTAATCAAATTAAATAGGCAGGAGGCTATTGGCCTGAGACTGTCTTCTTACTTTGACTTTCTGTGTAACAAACTGAAACCTAATTTAGGAGTATATGTTTTGTAACAAATAGCTGAGCTTCAGCCAGTCACAGGCAGCCAACTGATCAGACCATGCCCAAATAAAGCAAGTGCCTCATCACACCATGCCCAAATAAGGTGAACACCTAGCTAGCTCATCAAATAATTTCTCTATTTCCGTGTTTGGCCTATAAAAGTTCACTGCTCATGCTACTGGATAGAGCTCTCTCAAACTCTCCTGGTTCCGAGTTATGCCCTATTCATAAATCATTCTCTACCCAAATAAACTCTGTTAAATTTAATTTGTCTAAAGTGTTTCTTTTAATGGTGCAGATAGGTATACGTATAGAGGCTATGGGAACCAAGAGAAAGTAATCTGAGGACTAAGGGAGAAGTTGATCCCTGATACGAATCTTGCAAGGAGAGTAAGAGTTATTTACTTGAAGAGGAGAGGAATGGATATTCCAGACCAAGGGAATGCTGTGATCAAAGTCACAGAGCATCAAATGATACTACATGTGTAAAGAAAGGCAGCTGGCTCCGTTACTAGTGGGCTCATGTGAGGCACAGAAAAGAGGAGAGGAGGCGTAGGGCCTGTGTTTTGGAAACCTCACTCAGGACAGAGGCAGGAGAACCAGGAGACAACTACAGTGATCAAGCCCTACAGGTGTTACATTTAAGGAGGCACAGCCCAAGCAGGAATTCTAAACTTTACACTTAACAGCTAAAGGGGATCAACTATGTTCTGCCAGGAAACCCTTATTAGTACTCTCTGTTATTTCCTAATCTTCAGCATCCCCATAACTCCAAGGAGTCTTTCAATCTCTTATTCCAGAAGAACCCTCGCCCCAATTACAGTGTTTCATTTCCACCACCTGGTCCCTTAATCCCCTTATTCTTCTCTGCCACACTGGTAGGTCCCATTCTCCCTTTGAGTCTAACCCATTGGCTTTGTTTTGTTTTCTGCACCCACTCCAAATCTTTTTTTTTGTGTGGCTGGCTAGTAATGGGATCTGAACACTTGACCTTGGTGCTATCAGCACCACCGTCTCCAAGGGAGCCACCAGTCGGCCCCTCCAAATCTTTACACATGGATTTTACCCTTTCTCTTCTCTGCAAACAGGGCTTGATGTCAGAGTAAGTGGGCTACATTGTGATGGGGAGGGTGGCCAATGGAAGGCTCTGAATTCACATATGTCAATTATTTGGGGCCAGTGATGACAATTAAAATATAAGACAATCAGAAAGAGCTTGGGAAGTGGTAGTATAATGGGATAGAAGACACGAAGTGAGATAATCTGTACAAACATATTTAGGGCCTGACAACTAACTGAATGTAGGATGGAGGCAAAGAGAGGAAGGATTTTAAAACTGCTGTGTAGTTTGACTCTAGAATAAATAACAGTAGTGTGATATGAGCCACCAGGGCTGAGGAGTACAAACAGAGGAACATATTTAAGAGATAGGCAAAGAAGATGATAAATTTGACTTTATATATGCTGCGCCTGAAGTGTCAGCAAGACATTCAAGTCATATTTAGGAAGCACAGAGCTTCAGTGTGATGCAATACACCAGTAGTCTCCAAACCTGTGTGCTGTAAAGCACCATTCCTGTCAGACATCTCTGGAAAATGACATACTATGGCCCTTTCTTGGAGGTTGGTTACACATAGATGAGTCCTGTAGGAAATTAAGCCATGCAATTTAACTTGTTTCCAACCTCTTCCCACTGTACCCCCCCTTTTTTTTTTCAGAATACCTGTTAGCATTCCATGGAATGTTCTCTCCAGAGAAAATCTTTTAAGACATTCTCATTAAAACACCAAGGAGCTATAACCAGGGGATGATAAAGATAGAAAGAACTTGGTGGGGGTGGAGGCAGTTGTTGATTTGCATAGAAGTAGAGTGTTGCAGCTTTTGAACTGATGAATCACTAAGACTGAATAGAAAGAGAAAAGGAGATGGGAGATAAAACCTTTATAAATACCCTTCGATACCTCAAATGGCATGCAGAGAATACAATTTGGAGAGGCAGCAAATTGTGATAGCAATATCACGGGCTTCAGAGTGTGACAGTGATCTAAACTTTTTAAGGTTCAGTTTTCTTATCTGAAAAATAATGCCTACCTTATGCTGAAACTGAGATTTAAGATAGATCATATATGAATCACTTTCCACATAGAAGACACATAATCCACTCTCAATTAACACTATTACTATTGTTTTCATTTGAATTTTTCTTGATGAATTGAAGCAAAACCTTGATGAATACACTACTATATTGAAACTGGAATGTTGGACAATTACACATGAGTAATCTCAGAGGTTGGTATCAATACCCTAATATAAGGAAGCAATCCCAGTTCAGACAAGCCCGGGACAGTGACAACATGGTACAGGAATAGAATCCATAGAAACTAGGCAATGGAAGAAGACACCACAGGAATTTCCCTCAGGCACCAGTGACTGTTTTTCATAAAGAGGTGCTGAAAGTTAACATCAGAGCCTTAGTGAATACATCTGCTCTCCTTAAAAAATTCTGAGCTAAAACCCCCCTCCATTCGAATGGCTGTAGGTATCAATCTGTCATGAGAGGACATCCTCTGAGAATAGTCATTATCTGGCACCCTCAGGAGCAGGCCAACAGAGAGGCATCTGCAGCAGAATACTGGGCTAATGAGACATACTTCTGTCTGAATGTGTCACAATGCCACAAATGCAGGCCTTAGTCATTTTCAATATTGGTCAATTGAGATACAAAGCCAGGAAAGATTCTGACTTTAGAGGTAAAAGCTCTGCTAACTGCCATTGTAGATTAATTTTTCTCTTTTCCAGCACAAAAATGGGGCAATTATCAACATTTTACCCAGGTCAGCTCCTTTCAAACCCCAAAGGAGTAGTTACCAGAATCTATTATTTTGTTGTCTTTTCTGCAGATCTTCTGCGCTGCAGCCTCTAAGGTCTCAGATCTGCCTAAGGAACTTGGTGTTGTTAAGATGTCCATTTAACGTGACTGGTCAGTGTCCTTAACCAAGAGGAGGATGTAGGTGGGGAAGATAAGGATGGCAGATAAGTAGTTGAGGAGAGGCTTAGGGTGTTAGGGTTCAGATCCTGGGCATGAATACACAGGGGCATTGTGGCAGGAGATGCTCATTAATTGTTCTCTGAGCTACCATAGGCTAAAATATTAATAAAATTTGTCCTAGAAATTCATCAGGTCTCTCTCAGGGGAGTACTTGCAGAAGAAAATGGACAGTTATGTACCCTGATTTGTTTACATGGTCACTTGCCTAAAAATCACAAGACCAGGCCAAGAATGAATATAAGAAACAGTGCTGTTCAAAGTGTGGTCCAGAGCCTGGCAGCATCAGCATCACCTGAATCCAGAATCACCTAGAAATGCAAACTCTCAGGCTCCACCCAAGGCATGCAGGAAACACTCTCTGGGCAATTTGTTTTAAGAAGTTTCCAGGCGATTCTTACATATGCCAAAGCTTAAGAAGTGTTGCTCTAGATCTGTATTGGCTTTGTTAATAATTGCCACATCTCTCCACTTCCATTCATTCACTGAACTAGCGTAGCTTCTTTGTGTTTTTACTCTTAATTTCCAGTTCGCTTATCCTTATGGTATCTGATTAGATCGTCTGAGTATATATAAGAGCTCAGTTTGTAATTTTTATCATCAGCGAAAAATCAGAATTTTATTTATGGAAAGCAACTCTGTAGAGGCAGTAAAAATACCAATTTTTAGCCTTGTGATTTGGTTAGCAGCAGACAAACCTCGTTTATAACTCCCAGCAAATTTCCATTTCCAGTTTAAAAATGATATAAATAAAGTGTGAAAAAAGGAGGAAAACACTTACATGGGCTACAAGTTGCTCTTGGGAAGCTTTTACTTCAGTTTGCAATTTCTCAATGAACTAAAAAGGAGAAAAGTTTAGAAATCAAGTGCATAACTCTTCCTTTTACATATTCAAATAATTCCAAATATAAATATCTACCAGTTCTCAAATCTTGTCGACGGTGCATTATCTCAGCCAAATGTTTTAAAAAGCATCGTTAGAGAAATCATCCCTCCCATCCCCGTTCTTCTTTTATTCTATGGAAGAGCCCAGAGACAAAATGCATAACTCTCTTTAAAGCTAGGAAATGACCTGGAAAAGTAATGTTAGCTTGATGTGCTGCGGTTAATGTGATCACACTTTATCTCACACACATATATATACACCTTCACATAAAAACATATATTCCAAAGGCAGATACAAACCCTTTGGGTTGAACAAGAGGCAAATTTATATAATGACAAATACACTGTATAAAAGTCCAGAGACAGAAAGATTGATTATTTCTTATAAAGTAATTCATAAAAACATATGCCAAATTTTAGGATTCTGTTATTTAACTACACAAAAGGAAACTATTCCTTGATTAGGTTAAGCCTTGACAACTAAGAAACACTTATATAGTCAATACCATTTACAAAATAAAAAGAATATTCAGCTACTATTATTCAAAAGGATACATGTCAAACAAACTATAAAATTACTACTAACAAAATTAATTTTGTATGTCACTATTCACTAGGAAATAAAATTACTTTTAGCAAATACAAATATTCTTATTAGCACTGTGAACTGAAATATGAACTTCCAACACAGCCAGAAATAGCATTGCAGAATTGTCAGTTTATATAAGGTTAGGTAACTTTTAAAATAAAGATCATTTTTCTTTTACAACCTACCTGGTCTTTCACAAGAACCATATTTTCAAACAGTTCCGCACTGGCTTCCTTATGGTCCACAGCTTCTAGTTTTTTCTTTAGCCAGTGGATTTGCTCAAGCAGTTTTGATTTTGTTCCTTCAGAGACCGAAAGCTAAAGATATATTTTGTGAGAGCATGTAAATTCAGTGGTATTTTAAAAGCTCTTTTTACAAGTTCAACTTATAAATGAATTGTCTTCCACCGATGTCTCTTAAATATAAAAAATAGCTTCTGGAACATTCCTCATAGATGACAAATGATTAATATTGAGAAAGAAGAAAATAATGTTGATTCTATTTATTTTTAATATTTATGATGTTTTAAGGCAAGAGATGAGACCACATAGTTACAATAGGCAGAGAAATTTCTAGTGCAAGGATCTTCATTGTGCTTCAAGATTGCACTTTATTTGTACAGCTGAATCTGAAACCCATATTGTGGTTTACATACAGCTCTTGAAACAACTCTTGGGGGGGCTATAGCTCTCTAGAAAGAGGGGAATTCTGACTCCCTTGAATGTTCACCATACCAGCAGCAGGGTGGATGCAGCTGAAGAGAAACGTGGGAATTTCAAGTCAAAGCCTGATCAAAGTTAGATCTATGCTAATCCACAACCAAAAAATTCTTAGCGGTGTCTTTGTCTTTGTTTTACTGTTTGTAGATTCCTCTTGAGGAAAGTGGTAGTTTGATTGTCTCTAGTCCCTTATTTCCTTTGGAGAACCCCTGGACTAGCTTTGCCTTTTATCCAGGCAGCCGATCATACTTTTTCTTCACAGCTCAGGGACAATTCTGAGAGTCCTGGAATGGGACACACAATTTTGTATTTACTGCAACTACCGGTGCATCCTCTGAAGCATGGATCCCCTTTAAGTATCTCTTTCACATTTCTGTCAGTGTTATTGCAAAGTATACTGTCTCATCTTGAAAAGGACAGCAAGTTTTTAAAGGCAATTTACCAGATAGGGAAGGACGAAGAGGTCATCTGCCTTGGAAATAAAGTGAGCACGTTGTATGTATGGGCATCCATCCATGCAATCATTTGTAGAACAAATGTTTGTTCGGTTGGCACTCTGCACAGCCATTGTGTTGTATACCAGGGATTGTGAAAGTGTAATGCAGGGGCCAGAGGGAACATACGTGTCATGGACTCTTGGCTGTGCCTTTGGGCTTTCAGTGACCTGGGAGACTTGCGGTTGCTCCTCATGGCCACTAATATGTTTAGCTCTTGGGTGCATGGTGGGCTGGGAATGTCGTCGGGCTTCTCTGAACCCACTTCTATTTTATTAGAGACATGGTATAGTACCACGGTTAAACACACAGACTCTTGAGTCAGACTCTTTGGGTAAAACTCTGTTTGGCTGCTTACTATCTGTCTGATTTGGGCACGTTGCTCAGCCCCTCTGGGCTTAATTTTCTTATCTGTAAATGGTGGTGGGAATGAATAGTACTTAGCTCATGGGTTGGTTTTGAGGATTATATGAACATATAAAAGAGTAACATTTAGAACATGCCTAGAAGAGATCAAGCACCTGGTAGCTATTATTATTATAATTATTCTTCTACCTCCTGTAGATCACAGTAAGTATTTATCTGACTTTTACCAAAATACTTGTTATTTATCAAATTGAAAAACAAACTATCTGAAGACATTATAGCCTCTATGAGCTGCATGCCCTTAACTCAAACTATATTTGGGTTTGCGCTTCCTGAAGCCCCTCCAATCTTCAGAGAAAACCCCCCTCTATGTCTGCAATTATTTTCTCTCAAATATATTCTTACTCAATCGGGCCC